CACAAGTGTGATGGTGATGCCTGTTATTGTCTTCCCCACAGGTTCCTTTGGGGTTTGGAATATGGTTCATTTAATGCACCACCGGAGGGAATTGTGCGCCAATAAAACGACCATTAGACCCCTCTACCCACGCTATTTTTTACCCCTTAAAAACGTGAAGGTTTTAAAATAAAGGGAGGCAGTTAGGGAAAGATATAAAAAGCTATTGGAGGTAGATGGGGTAATGGGGATAAAGGCAAGGGGGGTTTGAAGAGGTATTGGGGTGGTTTAAAAATGTAGTGTTGAGTGTTCAGCAGAAGTTTTTGGTTACAGGGAAAGTGGGGCGGGAGGGGAAAAGGAGCATTTTGGTGGAATGATGAGGGAAAAGAGAGTAGTAAAAGGGAAAAAAAAAAAGTTAGCATTAGAGAAATTTTTTACAAGTAGAAGTGATGAAGGGGGGAAAAAGTTATGGGAAAAAAGAGGAGGTTAAGAGAGTGGTGGGAAACAAGTAAAAAGAGAGCAAATGAGGTTTTTGGGTGAGTGTTTCAAAAATTTTATTGAAAATAAGAAAAGTTTTGGAGTGAGATTTAAAAGTTAAAGGGAAACCCAGAGAACAATGGGGTTTTTTCAGTTAAAAATAGGAGGGAGAGTTTTTAAATGGAGAGTTAGAGGTATTGGGAAGATGGGGGAATATTTTGAGGGAAATTTTTAAAAATTTTTTGAAGTTTGGAACTGTGATTTCTGTATAGGGCAAGGGGAAAAAAATCTTGTAGGGGTGAGGAAGAGCCCGTTGTGAGTGTGGGGGAAGTTCGTGAGGCAGTAGGTAAAATGAAAGGGGGTAAGGCAGCCGGGATTGATGGGATAAAGATAGAAATGTTAAAAGCAGGTGGGGATATAGTTTTTGGAGTGGTTAGTGCAATTATTTAATAAATGTATGGAAGAGGGTAAGGTACCTAGGGATTGGCAGAGAGCATGCATAGTTCCTTTGTATAAAGGCAAAGGGGACAAAAGAGAGTGCAAAAATTATAGGGGGATAAGTCTGTTGAGTATACCTGGAAGGTGTATGGTAGAGTTATTATTGAAAGAATTAAAAGTAAGACTGAGAATAGGATAGCAGATGAACAAGGAGGCTTTAGGAAAGGTAGGGGGTGTGTGGACCAGGTGTTTTACAGTGAAACATATAAGTGAACAGTATTTAGATAAGGCTAAAGAGGTCTTTGTGCATTTATGGATTTGGAAAAGGCGTTTGACAGGGTGGATAGGGGGGCAATGTGGCAGATGTTGCAGGTGTATGGTGTAGGAGGTAGGTTACTGAAAGCAGTGAAGAGTTTTTTACGAGGATAGTGAGGCTCAAGTTAAGTACATAGGAAAGAGGGAAATTATTTCCCAGTAAAAGTAGGCCTTAGACGGATGTTGATGCACCGTGGTTGTTTAATTATTTTAGAGGGGGGTTTTTGAAAAGGAAGAAAAATGGAGGGCCCTTGGAAAAGGGCGTGGAGTTAAAAGAAAAGAACACACTAAAGGGGGGAGTTGTCACAGTTTCTTTGCTGATGACACTGTTTTTTGGGGAGATTCTGAAGAGAAGTTGCAGGATTGGGGGGAAATGAATTTGGTGGGTGTGCAAAAGAAAAAATTAAAAGTGAATACAGGAAAAGAGTAGGTATGGGGATAACAAAAATATTGGTGATGAAAGATTGGATATCAGATTGGAGGAAGAGATTGGAGGAGGTGAATTGGTATTCGTTTTTGGGGGGAGTGGACGTGTCAGGGATGGGTCTATGAAGGATGAGGAAAATATAAAATTGAGAGGGGAAAAAAAAGGGTGGAGGGGTTTTGCACTTAGGGTTGTGGAGACAAAAAAATTTGTCCTTGGGGCAAAGAGGGGAATGTTTTTGAGAGTATTTTTCCCAAACATCTTATATGGGTGTAAAGCATGGGTGATAAATTTGAGGAGGGAAGGCTGGAGGCAGTGAGAGTCAGTCTGGGGCAAGTGTGGTGTAAAATAAAATGCAGAGAATTTGTAGTTTGGGAAAGTTAGGAGGGGGGCGGGATTACCAAAAAAAAGTTGTCCGAGGGGTGGGAAGGGGTTGTTGAGGTGGTTCGGGACTTGTAGGAGGAAGGGGGCGAAACAGAAGTTAGAGGTAAGTTGTTTTAAAGGAAGGGGGGGGTTTAGGGGTGGGTGGGAAAGGGTAAGGGGGGGGTAAAGGAGGTTTTGTTGCGGGGGGGCTTGGATTTCCAGAAGGCGTGCATAGCGTTTTTTGATAGGAGTAAAGGGGACGAAGGTTTTTATACTTGACGTGCTGTTGGGTGTGAGCAAAAAAACTTTTGAAGGGGGGTTCAGGGAAACGGGGGCCGGACTTGGTTGGAATGGGAAATACAGTGCTGCATTGAAGGGGGGGTGTTAATGTTGCAGTTTAAAAACTGTGTGTAAAGACCCTTCTGGCAAACTGTGGAGTAAATGATGGTGAAAAAGTTTTTTTTTTCGGGGGCCCCCTTTCCCTTTGGTGGGAAATCGGCCAGTGTGAAAATATATATATATATAATATATTTATTATATTTTTATAAAATTTATATATTATAATTATTAATATATTTAAAATTAATATATTTAATTATTATATTATATATATATAAAAATTTTTTTTTTTTTTTTTTTTTTGAAAAAAAAATTAGACATATGCATGAGTGTGAATGTGCCCGTTCTGGGCCCTTTTTTTAAACTTTTTCCCTTTTATTTTAAAACCAAACTGCCGTTATTTTGGGTTTCATCCTAATACTTAAACAGTAAGAATAAAAAGTTTTCCCTTCATTTGTTTTTTTTTTATGGGGACTAAGAACAAAGTCCGGTTGGTTTTTTGTTCCTTCCACAAAAACAACTTTTGATGACGGGAAGACTCTTATCCCAGTGTTTGGGCGGGGAAAGGTTTTTTAATTGTGCTACACATGAATCGTTAAACTACATGCACGTGTTCACCTAGCAAGAATATTAAAGTCTGTAAAATGCGGAGTCAAGTAAATTTAGTTTGGTGGGGGAGGACATACTTTTGGGGGGGCATACATCCTTGAACCAAGAAAATGGAGCTTCCTTCCCGCCTTCGATCAAACCTACTACCTTCCTTTGGGGGCACTGTATTCAACATGTTTTTAAATTTCATTCTTGATATAATATTTTAATAAAAATAAATAATAAAAATTTAAAAATAATAAAAATAAAAATTAAAATAATAATAATAATAATAATACATTAAAGTGATGTTGGTTTCCAGATGTAGCCAAAACACTCCCAGTTTTCTTACAAAAATTTTCTAACATGTGTTACTGAGAACCACTCACAGTTTTTTCCATATTTTTTAATGTTTACATAAATAACTGAAAGGCTATATTTGCACTGAATTTATTAACGAGGAAGGTTGGAAGAAGTAGGGAGAAGATTTTGAGAGTTAGAAATAAACATCTATTATTTACATGTTAGATCGGAGCGGGTGGAGATTAATGGTCTTTGAAACTTGTTATACAGTTTTATTGGTGTTAACACTCCGCCTGCATATATCAGAAGACAATCACGGATTTATGATTTTGGATATTCTCAGTGGATACTTTATTAGGTACACCATTCTAGTACTGGATATTATCCAACTTTTCCCCCAGAACTGCTTGAATTATTCTTGTTATGAATTCATCAAGGTGCTGGAAGCATTCCTTTGAGATACTGATCTATGTTGATATGACAACATCATTCAGTTGCTGCAGATTTGTCGGCTGCACATTTAACCTGTGAATCCTCGTTCCACTATATTCGAAAGGTCTGGTCCTACCACCTGCATGTCGCAGCAGAAATCGAGATTCTTCAGACCAGGCGACATTCTTCCAGTCTTCAGATGCCCTGTTTCGGTGAGCCTGTGTTCACTGTTGCCCCAGTTTCCTGTTTTTAACTGACAGAGGTGAAACCCGGTGTGGTCGTCTCCTATCGAGTTCATCTACTTCAAAGTTCGACGTATTGTGCGCTCAGAGAAGTTTTTATACATACTTCTGTTGTAAATTGTCGTTATTTGAGTTACTGTCACCTTCCTGTTAGATCAAACCAGTCTGGCCATTCTCCTCTGATATATTCTTTAACAAGGCGTTTTCACGCACAGAACTACCGATCGCTGGTTGTTTTGTGTTTCCACGCTATTCTTTGTAAATGTTAGAGACTGTTTTGTGTGAAAATCCCAGGAGATCAACAGTTTTTGACATATTCAAACCACTCCGGCAGATGACTAGTACCTGAGTCAGGAGGAGATGTTGATGCTGAGGCTGAGTTAGGAAAGATGATGGGGATACTGAGGGCTGGACCCACGGGAGTGAGCGCTCTGTTAGGAGCTTTATTTAATTCCGAATACAGAGGTTCTACTATATCAAGGTAGAGTGACCCTCAGAAGGAAACTCGTTTTTCATAACTATTTCAATTACTGTCTTACCAAAAGTGCCTTGATGTCACAATTCAAATGACATGAACTTTTTATTAATTTGTACTATTTTTTTTGTCTTCAGAGACGAACATTATTATTATTATCCTCCCATTAAGAGGTGTTGTAATAGTATACGTTGATGGATATAATGCTGTAGATGTAGCACTTGTAGTCTAGCCTGGTTGTGTAGATTGTGTTCAGGCAGATTATCATCATGGGTGGCCCGGTGGCCTGGTGGCTAAAAGCTCCCGCTTCACACACGGAGGGCCCGGGTTCGATTCCCGGCGGGTGGAAACATTTCGACACGTTTCCTTACACCTGTTGTCCTGTTCACCTAGCAGCAAATAGGTACCTGGGTGTTAGTCGACTGGTGTGGGTCGCATCCTGGGGGACAAGATTAAGGACCCCAATGGAAATAAGTTAGACAGTCCTCTATGACGCACTGACTTTCTTGGGTTATCCTGGGTGGCTAACCCTCCAGGGTTAAAAATCCGAACGAAATCTTATCTTATCTTATACACCGCTAATCTCGTGAAGGTTACATTAATTACTGAAACACGGAGAGGCCTGCAAAAAAATTTTATTTTTCTCTATACATGGGTTTGGATTGTGTTGTCTCGAAACCTGTGTTCGAGGGAGAACTTCTCTCAAAGAAGTATGCGATAACACAGGACGAGGTTGAGGAGGAGTGGAACGAACACAGGGAAGCGTCAGTTGAGTTTGGAAGGGACAGGAAGTGGGACCAGCCTCACACCTCCCATCTTACTTCTCGAAGACGACTCCCTTAGCGCGCTGTTCCTCGGCGAAGGCGATCTGTTGGATGGCGTGCTCGGGGAGTGGGTGAGGCGTGGGGTTGAGGTTAGACACTGGATGATAGCCAGTCTCATCGGCGATGAAGCGGACCTCACCTACAGTGCCGTCGGACAGTGTGAACCTGTGCAGGAAATGGCGTGAGGTGAATTAAGGAAAACACGATAATTATACTAGTGGCGAGGGGCTCTTGGGCAGAGGAATTGGAGCTAACCTCTAATTCCTAGGAAGGAACCAGATCATCTTACAATTTCAAGCGCTGCAGGGGCCGTATGTGTTTAGCGCCTTCACGTGATTATAATAATAATTTGGAACAGGTATTTCACACATTCGTGAAATTCCAGCTTGCGTTGGAGGGTCAGTGTGAAATTTTCTGTGACTTAGAGTCAATGGCATCTCATGTAAACACTGACACATCTTTTAAGAAACTCTTGATGAGCTATTAAGCGAATCACAAATAAATTAAGACCCACGCCAGATGATTTTCCCCGACAAATACATTACTTACAACAAACATGATAGCCCAGTGGTAGTGCGTGCGTCAGCTAACAATGTGACTACGGCTCAAAACCCACACACACACAACACACACACACACACACACACACACACACACACACACACACACACACACACACACACACACACACACACACACACACACACACACACACATACATACACACACGCACACACACACACACACACACACACACACACACACACATACACACCTGTAGACGCCTTCTATGTTGCTCTGGCCCTCGGCTCCAGGAACCCCGGATCTCTCTTCGTAGATACCGTTGCTAGTCTCGAACTTGTAGTTGAAGTTGCCGTCGCCAGAGTCGTCTCTCTCGTCCAGGGTCGTCTCGGCGTCCTTGTCGGGCCTCGCCGCCGCCAACACCACCAGGCAAGCAATAACTATCTGAAAACCAAAGGGATTAAGAGTGAATATATATACTAAGAAAAGTAATTTGTAGAGACTTCGCAAAGTTATAAGTGAATGATATGTAATCTCAGGTAGCCCAGAGTTCAGTTCTATAATCTCTCTCTCTCTCTCTCTCTCTCTCTCTCTCTCTCTCTCTCTCTCTCTCTCTCTTCTCTCTCTCTCTCTCTCTCTCTCTCTCTCTCTCTCTCTATCTTCTGGGAGAGTGAACGGTGACCTTGAATGACTGTTACACTGCCTAGTATGACATCTTCATCTTAAGCGTGACCCAACATGACCATAACACCTTTAATTAAATATAGCACAGAATTACTTTCACATTTATCAGTGTGGCTCTGAATCGCTGCTACGCCTATAAATGTAACCAAAAAGAAATATCAAACCTTACAGTGTGACAGCTACACCATTAAACGTGACCTTGGATGACAATTTCACCTTTAAATGTGACCAAATACTGAGAAAGAAATGTGACTTTAAAATGTGGTCGAGCAGATGGATTCATTGAAGCTTCAATGACGCGCGGGAAACATCATCATTTATGTAAACAAGAAGTTGATGTGGCTGGAGGAGCAGACTTGCATGTTTGTTTTCATCAAGAGAGAAGCTCTAATCTCATACCGCTTCTTGGAAATCAGCTTTGGTTCAAGGCTGAAAAGACTGGAAGAGCCCTTGAGGCAGCAACGAAGTAGAGTACTCACGAGCTTCATGTTGTCTGTGTGAGGATCGGCTGAAGGATGATGAGCAAGCTGAAGGATCCCAGCTATATATACACATGCACCGGGTCAGCAGGACAGGCAGGGAAGGACTCCTGCAGTAGTCAAGGACCTGAGGTGAAGGGATTTGGGTGGTGGGTGTTTCGAGAGGGTGGAAGGAGAATGGAGAGGCTAGAAAATGGAGAGTGGGTGGGAATGATGTAAGGGAGGTGATGGTAGTTAGGAAGTAAAGCAAAAAGAGTGAGGGTAAACAGAATGATGGAAAAGAGGGAGGATAAAGAAGATGGAATTGACGACAAAATTAAAGAGAATTAGAGAGAAAGACAGGAGAGCTCGGAATGGGACAGAAACAGAAAACCCGAAGGCAGAAAAAGGAAGAGATAAAATAGCAGATGAAAGTATGGAAAAAAACATAGGGAATCAGAAGGTAGAAATCTAGAGAGGGTGACTGGCAGAAGCAGAGAGAACTAGGAAGGAAGAGGGACACGGAGATAAGGGAGAAGAGGAAATATGAAGAACTAGATAGTAAATGAAAAATGAAATAGATAGTAAATGAAAAATGAAATAGATAGTAAATGAAAAATGGAGATCATGAGATACTACGGGGGAAAAAAAGAGAAGAAGATAAGAAGAAAGAAGAAAAACAAGAAGATAAGGAGAAAGAAGGAAAACAAGAATATAGGGTGAAAATTAGCCAACTAGATAAGAAGGGGAAAAGGGAGTCACGAAAGAATGAGAGAAAGAGATGCAATGAGATAGGGGAAAGACAACGAAAAAGAGAGATAGAGAGACAAGGAGCTAGGAAGAGAGCCAAAGATATAGAAAAAATAAACAAGACGATAGGGAGGAAGAAAGAGAGACAGGCACATAGAGGAAGACAAGGATGTAGAGAGAGGCAAGTAAGGAAGAAATGAAGACACAAAGATATGGAGATAAATAGAAAGAATGGGATGGAAAAGGGAAGACATGGGCATATGGAGAGAAAAAAAATAGAAAGAAGATAGTAAGGGAGACAGGGAGATAGTGATGGAGACGAGGGGATAATGAGAGACAGTGAGATAGTGAGGATGATAGGGAGATAGTGAGGGAGACAAAGGGATAGTGAGGGAGACAAGGAGATAGTTAGAGAGACAAAGAAATACTGAAGGAGACAGGGAGATAGTTAGTGAAGTAGGCAAAGAGATATTGAAGGTGACAGGGAGATAGTGAGGAAGGCAAGGCGATAGTAAGAGAGACAAAGAGATAGTGAAGGAGACAGGGAGATAGTTAGTGAAGTAGGCAAAGAGATATTGAAGGTGACAGGGAGATAGTGAGGAAGGCAAGGCGATAGTAAGAGAGACAAAGAGATAGTGAAGGAGACAGGGAGATAGATAGTGAAGGAGGCAAAGAGACAATGAAGGAGACAGGGAGATAATGAGGGAGGGAAGGCTATAGTGAGAGAAACAGGAAGATAGTGAGGATGACAGGGAGAGAGTGAGGATGACAGGGAGATAGTGACAGAGACAGTGAGATAGTGAGGGAGGCAAGGAGATGATGAGGGAGACAGGAAGAATGTGAGGAAGACAGGGAGATAGTAAAGGAGGTAGTATGGGAGAGAATGAGGGAGACAGAGAAATAGTGAAGGAGACAGGGAGATAGACAGGGAGACAGTGAGGGAGACAGAAAGTGAAAGAGACTGGGAGATAGTGAGAGAGACAGGGAGATAGTGAGAGAGACAGGGAGATAGTAAGGGAGGTGGTGAGGGAGACAGGGAGATAATGAGACAGGGAGATAGTGAGGGAGGTAGTGAGGGAGACAGGGAGATAATGAGACAGGGAGACAGTGAGGGAGGTAGTGAGGGAGGTAGTGAGGGAGGTAGTGAGGGAGGTAGTGAGGGAGACAGGGAGAAAATGAGGGAGATAGGACGGACAAAGTATTTAAATGTTCAACATTTACGACTACACTGACGTCCAAAATACCTATAAAAATCTAGTCGTAAGAATTTGTTTGTATTGGGAATGTATTATTTGGGGAGAGAGGGGGAGGGGGATAAGGCGGTGAGGGGGAAGGGGGTGTGGGGTAGGGGGAGGGGGAAGGGGAATGACCACTTCGCTTATTTTCATGCAAATAAACGTGAATATTAAAAGAAAATCCTGTATTTTCAGGGACGTGTTTGTACACTTAACTGTTGACACCAAGAGCAGAGAGGCGACGCGTTCAACAAGACAACGGCAGAGGCAATAAACTCAACAGAGTGACGCCACTAACAACAGAGGCGTTGCACGTAGCGAAGCATAGCCACCAACGGGAAATACAACGTACTAAGTAAACAGCAACGTCTACGGTAGATACTGACACCGACAGAAATCGCTACACCCTCAGCGAGACAAACGGCATCAACGGGAAAGCCAACGCACTCAGCTAAACGGTGACACGAATAAATTGTTTTTCTATAATCGCTCTGACAACACTAAAAAATATATTACTCAAAAGAAAACAATAAACTGCCAGAACAAATTCTTGTTAAGTTTTCCATGATTATTGTGTAGATTAGTGTGATTCTTGTGTAGTTTAGTGTGATTGTTGTGTAGTTTAGTGTGATTGTTGTGTAGTTTAGTGTGATTGTTGTGTGGTTTGGTGTGATTCTTGTGTAGTTTAGTGTGATTCTTGTGTAGTTTAGTGTGATTCTTGTGTAGTTTAGTGTGACTTAAGAAATCGTAATGACACGATTGCAAATAAACCATACCCCCGGCCGGGATTGAACCCGCGGTCATAGAGTCTCAAAACTCCAGCCCGTCGCGCTAGCCACTAGACCAGCTAGCCACAATAAGATTCATCCAACTAGGTATATTTCTACACCATAGGAAAGTTAGCGGGTTCAATCCCGGCCGGGGGTATGGTTTATTTGCAATCGTGTCATTACGATTTCTTAAGTCATGTTGACGGCAGTGAAGGGACTTGAGCTAGAGTTCGTCACGGCCACGCTAGCTGGAGATTCGTCTGTAAAAACTTGCATTTGTGGTCACAGAGGTGCCTGTGCTAACTTTCCTATGGTGTAGAAATATACCTAGTTGGATGAATCTTATTGTGGCTAGCTGGTCTAGTGGCTACGCGACGGGCTGGAGTTTTGAGACTCTATGACCGCGGGTTCAATCCCGGCCGGGGGTATGGTTTATTTGCAATCGTGTCATTACGAATTTCTAAGTCATGTTGACGGCAGTGAAGGGACTTGAGCTAGAGTTCGTCACGGCCACGCTAGCTGGAGATTCGTCTGTAAAAACTTGCATTTGTGGTCACAGAGGTGCCTGTGCTAACTTCCTATGGTGTAGAAATATACCTAGTTGGATGAATCTTATTGTGGCTAGCTGGTCTAGTGGCTAGCGCGACGGGCTGGAGTTTTGAGACTCTATGACGCGGGTTCAATCCCGGCCGGGGGTATGGTTTATTTGCAATCGTGTCATTACGATTTCTTAAGTCATGTTGACGGCAGTGAAGGGACTTGAGCTAGAGTTCGTCACGGCCACGCTAGCTGGAGATTCGTCTGTAAAACTTGCATTTGTGGTCACAGAGGTGCCTGTGCTAACTTTCCTATGGTGTAGAAATATACATAGTGTGGATTGAATCTTATTGTGGCTAGCTGGTCTAGTGGCTAGCGCGACGGGCTGGAGTTTTGAGACTCTATGACCGCGGGTTCAATCCCGGCCGGGGGTATGGTTTATTTGCAATCGTGTCATTACGATTTCTTAAGTCATGTTGACGGCAGTGAAGGGACTTGAGCTAGAGTTCGTCACGGCCACGCTAGCTGGAGATTCGTCTGTAAAAACTTGCATTTGTGGTCACAGAGGTGCCTGTGCTAACTTTCCTATGGTGTAGAAATATACCTAGTTGGATGAATCTTATTGTGGCTAGCTGGTCTAGTGGCTAGCGCGACGGGCTGGAGTTTTGAGACTCTATGACCGCGGGTTCAATCCCGGCCGGGGGTATGGTAGTTTAGTGTGATTCTTGTGTAGCTTCGTGTGATTCTTGTGTAGTTTAGTGTGATTGTTGTGTAGTTTAGTGTGATTCTTGTGTAGTTTAGTGTGATTCTTGTGTAGTTTAGTGTGATTCTTGTGTAGTTTGGTGTAATTCTTGTGTAGCTTCGTGTGATTCTTGTGTAGTTTAGTGTGATTGTTGTGTAGTTTAGTGTGATTCTTGTGTAGTTTAGTGTGATTGTTGTGTGGTTTAGTGTGATTGTTGTGTAGTTTGGTGTAATTCTTGTGTAGCTTCGTGTGATTCTTGTGTAGTTTAGTGTGATTCTTGTGTAGTTTAGTGTGATTCTTGTGTAGTTTAGTGTGATTGTTGTGTGGTTTAGTGTGATTGTTGTGTAGTTTAGTGTGATTCTTGTGTAGTTTAGTGTGATTCTTGTGTAGTTTAGTGTGATTCTTGTGTAGTTTAGTGTGATTCTTGTGTAGTTTAGTGTGATTGTTTTTGTGGTTTAGTGTGATTGTTGTGTAGTTTAGTGTGATTATTGTGTAGTTTAGTGTGATTCTTGTGTAGTTTAGTGTTGGGTTCTTGTGTAGTTTTGGTGTGATTCTTGTGTAGTTTAGTGTGATTGTTGTTTTGGTTTTAGTGTGATTGTTGTGTAGTTTAGTGTGATTGTTGTTGTGGTTTAGTGTGATTGTTGTGGGAGTTTTTGTGTGATTCTTTGTGTAGTTTAGTGTGATTCTTGTGTAGTTTAGTGTGATTCTTGTGTAGTTTGGTGTGATGTTGTGTATTTTAGTGTGATTCTTGTGTTTGTTTAGTGTGATTGTTGTGTGGTTTAGTGTGATTGTTGTGTAGTTTAGTTTTGATTCTTGTGTAGTTTAGTGTGATTCTTGTGTAGTTTAGTGTGATTCTTGTGTAAATTTGGTGTGATTCTTGTGTAGTTTAGTGTGGATTGTTGTGTATTTTGTGTGATTCTTGTGTAGTTTAGTGTGATTGTGTGTGGTTTTTTAGTGTGATTCTTGTGTAGTTTAGTGTGATTCTTGTGTAGTTAGTGTGATTCTTGTGTAGTTTATGTGATTTTGTGTAGTTTAGTGTGATTTTTTGTGTAGTTTGGTGTAATTCTTGTGTAGCTTCGTG